CGAAGAGTGTTATAATTTCAAGTAACTAGTTAATATACCTCGTTAAAACAAAGATTCCTCGGTCTAGAAAGCAATTAATTAAGTTTCAAAATTCCAAGAAGTTCCAAAATTATCGTCTGATTTTTTATTAGATCTTGTGCTTTATATTTTAATAATGCTTATGTTAGCCTGATTTTTGTTTCATCTTGTGACGTTTATTTTCAAACATGATTGCTTACGTGAACTTGATTGTTTATGACTATAACTTCTTTTCCTTTTTATTAGTGTTCATATTTATAATAAAATCACTAGCAGAAACAGTGATTATGATTAAGTTAATCATAAAGAGCACAAAAATACTTTCATATTAGGTCAACGAAGGCGCTGATGAAGATATAAAGAAGTAAGAGTGTTATAATTTCCCGTTACTATACCTCGTTAAAACTAAGAATCCTCAAGAAGTTCCAAAATTATCGTCTGATTTTTTATTAGATCTTGTGCTTTATATTTTAATAATGCTTATGTTAGCCTGATTTTTGTTTCATGTTGTTGTGACGTTTATTTTCGAACATGATTGCTTACGTGATGTTTTGAACTTGATTGTTTATGACTATAACTTCTTTTCCTTTTTATTAGTGTTCATATTTATATTAAAATCACTAGGTTAAAACAGAGATTATGAATAAGTTAATCATAAAGAGCACAAAAATACTTTCATATTATGTCAATGAAGGAGCTGATGAAGATATAAAAAAATAAGAGTTATAATTCCACGTAACTAGTTACTATACCTCGTTGAAACTAGGAATCCTCAGTCTAGAAAGTAATCAATTTCAAGAAGTTCCAAAATTATCGTCTGTTTTTTTAAAATTCGATCTTGTAGGACTTTATTTTTTAATAATGCTTATGTTATCCTAATTTTTATTTGATCTTGTTGTGACACTTTTTTAATGTGTGAACCTGATTGCTTATGAACTCTTACAACTTTATATTTGTGATTAAGGTGTTGAAGTTGATCTTGTCGAAATGTTTGCGTGTATGTAAAACCCAAAATACCTGCTAGTTTCGAATGGGAAATAATGTTTTTATCCCACTCCATATGCTTTACGTATTTGAATCTGAAAGTGAGTATCTGTGCTCGAACAATACTAGGAACAAAGTGATCAAAAATAAAAATAAATGATGCTTCGAAAAATATTCGAATTGAATACGAATTTGATTCGAGTTAAATGCAAATAATAATGACACACTGACCCCACTCTACCTGCTTTAATTGTTTAAATCTGAGACTGATCTGACTTGTTTAAATCTGATTTATTTTATTTTATAACCATCGTTGAACAGCCGATCCAATTTTTAAGTTTTACGACTACTTATGTTCAACTCCGTCGCCTTGTCATTTTGAACCCAATCCAGAAGACAAGGGATCTCCTGGATCGAGTATTGGGAGAAATTAGGCTTCGTGGAGGACTTTTTTTGAGGGAACTAACCCGCATTTTCGCTACATGGAGAGGAAGACCACGAGAGCCTCACACGGTTAGAATGACGGCAAGGGGACTCTAACCCACGTTCCTTCTACCAATGAGGATATTTCATGTCAGCACTGTGGTCGGTGCAAGCCGGATGCGCAATTCGTATCGGCTGGGATTCGAACCCGGTTCGCCTCATTGGAAGGCGAGCGCTCTATCCTCTGAGCCATCGGGATTCAATAGGAAATTTAACAATGATCTGAGAATTTGTTAATATTCGTTTTATACTTTGATGTTTGTGTGCTAATAACAGATTTTTCGCGTTTTTACAAATCTCAGTAATTGTACAATAACTTTCTATTACTTTTTCAACTCATGACTAAGAATAATGCAATATTTAATGTTAAACGTTTCTTAATTTTCAGTTTTTGTGAAATATCGACACATCTGAAAAACCATATAAAAAGAAGATTAAAAAAAAAATGATTCGAAAAATTCTTTTCCTTTTTTATGTGTTGCCGAAATTCTTGTACAATTTTCAATTCCAGTTTAGCATTCGATTCTTTATCCTCTTTTTCTACAAATGAAACATTTTTCTAAGCGTTTTTTTTTCTTCTTTCTTTTTTAGGCTTTTTTATTCTATTTAGGTATCGATGAATGTCGAAGAGGGGGCTGTTCCCGAACCAGGGTAAACGTGACAAAATTCGATGATCGAAACCCGAAACACGCAAACAGTCGATAGAGGATGATAGGGAATGAAAATAAAGAAATCCGATCCATTCTGAAAAGTGAAGTCGCTCGACAACCCCTCTAACACCCCCCTTTAGACGTTTTCATTTTCAGGATTTATCCCGACTGTTCCAGTTTCAGCCATCCTTGATTCTTCAAATACACGCCACCGAACTTTTTTCTTACATTCTCACATTTCTCACAGATTCCCATTCCTTTTTATTTTTTCATTGAGAAAAAGTTTCCTTAGTTTCATTTTTAACACTTTGTTCCCTGAATTGTTCTTGAATAAGATGCTCCTTCTTAGATTCAAATTAAGAAAGCGTATAATGTCGGGTCGGACTATTATTGTTATTCGTAATTCTTTGTATTTATTTCGGTATTTTTTTTTGAAGTTATACTTCTTATGCGACTTCCAACAAGGTTGCGTTAAACGTTTAACGCTACATTTTTATTGGCCGGGAAATCACGTGGTTGGATCCAGTTATCCCTCATTCATTTCCATATTCTTTTGGTTCTCACTAGCATAAAAATAATTGAAGTATTGTTTTTCTATAAATATTTTTTTAGTTTGTTTTGATACACATATAGTTTAATAGAGTAGTATTTTTAATTTTCAAATTTAGTGGATAACGATTGTAAAAAATGAGTGAAAACAATCCCACGGACACTGCGGCGGATTTAAGGTTATGTCTAGGTACGTCTCTTGTGAATATCAATTGATTGTTTCTCTTCTGAAATTACATTATGACGCATTTTCATATACATTATTAATACAAATACATTTTCCATGGCGAGACGATGAGGCAACCACAGGCACTTCCACTGGTTCAAGAGGTCCACGAGGGAAAAAAGCACAATATTACCGTGATTACAGAGCACGGAAGCGAGCGGAGCAGGAAAAAGAGTCGTTGAATAGAACTAGTGATTCTTCTACGACTGCTTATTCTTCTACAATTAATGTCGCAGGTTACGAAGTTTAACTTCTTCCGCGCGGAGGGACTCACGCACTATTTTTATTATTTTTTCTAATTTCTTTAGTTCCATTTAACAAAAGTTAGTTTTGTTTAAATCAGACGCATACTTTTGATAAATTATCACGCGTTGTTTCAGAGGATAGAGCGTTCGCCATCCAATGAGGTGAACCGGGCTGGAAACCCAGCGATGGCTGGTGGATACGAATTCATCCTCCGGCTTCCAACGACCACACTGCTGACGTAAAATGTCTTCAGTGGTAGACGGATCATGGGTTAGATCCCCCCTTGCCGCCAGGCTAGCCGTGGGAGATTCTCGTGGTCTTCCTCTACATGTAACGCAAATGCGGGTTAGTTCTCTCAAAAAGCCTTCCACGAAGCCGAATTTCTTCCAATACTTGATCCAGGAGTTTCCTTCTCTTCTGGATTGGGTTCAAAATTACAAGGTTTCAGAGTTGAACAATAGTAGTCGTAAACACAAAAATTGGGTCATCTGTTCAACGACGGTTATAAAATTAAATATGTTAAGTTTAGGGCTGGAATAGCCTAGTTGGTAGGGCACTGGGCCCATGTAAAACAGGTCGTGGGTTCGATCCCCGCTGCCGAAGACTTCCCGTGTAGTAAATGGTGACTGGTGCACGTTACATCTGTCGAGTCCCAAAGTCCTTCATGTTTCCACAACAAATCATACCTCTGGGGGTACTTATTCAAGAGCTTCCTTGTCTTATGGATTGGGTTCAGAATAGCAAGGTTACGGAGTTGAACATTTGTAGCCGTAAACCCAAAAATTGGGTCGGCTGTTGAACGACTGCTATATAGACTAAAAAAATATTATTGTCACTGTCTATTACATGATGAAATTGTTACAAAAGATTTACAATATTAAATGTTAGAAAACAAGATGTTAAATTTTGTAGTTTGAGTAATGGTTGGGCTAGTATTGCTGCTGAATAGAATGTGTATTTTTATATTTACATCTGTTCTTAGTCCAAAACGCGTGTTTTTTTACTTGTGTCACTAATGCAGTCCATGAGCGATATATTTGTTATTATGTGTATGCAGTTAAGCCTGTAATCAAGTAGCAAATAAAAACATTTTAATGTTCTTTGCGGTATCTTCTCAATTCAGTGCCTTGATTTTTATTATATTTAACTTTAGGGATGTTTTAAAAGGAATTTCGGTAATTTTATCTAATTAGTTGTTTCCTTTTAAAAATAAAATTTGGATAAAAAAAAGTAATATAAATAATAATCTGCAGCAACCGCTGCCGTGCAGAAAAGTTTTTTTTCCTACCGGTTCCACGATATAATTGCAAGAGAAGTATAAGTTCGTTCACCAGGAGTTGGCCCTTCATCACATGGTATCCGACGATACTATTTCGTTATTTTTGGGAAAAGGATGTGAAAAATCCTGAACAAGGTTTCTATTTGCCAATCGCATGACACAAATATTTATTTCGCAATCGTTATGTGCTTTTTTTCACATTAAATATTTCATAAATTTGATATTTCTCTTTCTTGAGTGAATAGTTTGTCCATTTTGAGACATTTTGCTGCAATATATTTAATTGGCTAGAGTAACAGAAGGTATAATAGCAGATGATAAAGCGAAGTAAATGAATGAAAAAGAATTCCATGTTTGTGTTTGGCGCGCATTAAGGGTTGTCTCAATTTCAAGAGCGGAGACGTTTCTCCTCTCACTCCCGAGTTGAAATGAACTCTTCGTTCGAGGAGGTGGAGCCAAGTGCCGACGCCTGGTGAACGAACTAAAACAGTTCTATTTATTCAAAATCAACTTGTAACTTGTTTAAAAAAATATATTCTAAACTGTACTTTTTTTGTCGTTGCAGGTGCTTTAATGATGATGTTAACATCCAGCCTCCAACGACTGGCTTTTGAGTCATGCTTCGAATGCTGGATCGAATGAATTTGACTCATTTCTCGATACTCATCGTCATGACGGCTGTGTGTGCCATACATCGTTGTTGCTGTACAGAGCAGCACTTTGACTGCCCCCTGGCCCAGCACCTCAGTCCTTGCACTTGCACTGCGAGAGTCTACGGGCTGGACGTCGTATGTACGGACATAAGTTCAGTGCAGCTGAGAGAAGTAATGGATGTGGTCAGTCTGACCAGGCAAACTATATGGTTCCTGCGCATCACGCGTGCTGAGCTTTCACAATTCCCTTTGAAACTGTTAGACGGGCTGGATCTTCAGAATCTGATACTCGTCCAGTCTAACATCACGACGCTGGACAGCGGTTCTCTGGCGGGAGATGCATCCCGCGTCGAATCGCTGGACCTTTCCAAAAACTGTCTGACCAAGGTGCCATCGCAAGCCCTGTCTGGCCTGAAAGAGCTGGCTGCCCTAAGCCTGGACTACAATTGCCTGGAGACTCTGGAGGCCCACGTTTTCAGTGACCTCGTGTCCCTTCTGTGGCTGTCCCTTTACGGCAATCGCATAAGGCTCATAGACAGTCGTGCTTTCTTGGGGACGGAGGGAAGCCTGACGAGGCTGAACCTGGGGGGCAATCGTCTCGGTCAAGTGCCTCGCTACGCACTCCAAAGGCTGAACTGTCTGCAAGGTTTGAGATTGCACGACAACAACATATCTGATATTTTAGTTGAGAACTTGCCGACATCGCTTTGTGATTTAGATTTGTCTGGCAATGACATAGAATACTTAGAAGCGGAGGCTTTTGTGACTTTAAAGCATTTGACTGCTCTGGATCTGGAAGATAACAAAATTAGAGGAATACACGAAGATGCTTTCAAAGGAATTCATGGTATGTAACTTTAAATTTTACACGTAGTACAGAAATGTTTTTTTGACCACAAAATTTAGTTTCAAGATGCCGTTGCCAAATACAAAAGTATAAAACAATGTTTTTTTTGCTGCAAATTAGATCTTATGATGGGGGCGGTAAGTCCAATTTAGTGGTTATCAATATTAGTGGTTACCAATAATTATACCAATATGTGATGTAGAGATAATGATCTAGGGATATTGATGTAGGGTTATATATCCAATAATTATGTAGGGATATAGATGTAGGGATATATATGTATATACATAAATATATCCATCCAGTTTAGTGGTTAGTTAAGGTAGCATCATCGTAGAATTAAGCATGTTTTTGCCCGTTTCAGTTACATCTTAATTTGGATATGATGTAGGGATAATGATCTAGGAATATTGATGAAGGGTTATATATCCAATAACTATGTAGGGATATTGATGTAGGGATATATATTTAATAATTATGTAGGAATACATATATATCCATCCAATTTAGTAGTTAGTTAAGGTAGCATCATTGTAGTATCAAGCATGTTTTCGCCCGTTTCAGATACATCTTAATTTGGATATGATGTAGGGATATTTATCCCAATATGTGATGTAGGGATATATATCCAATACTGATGTAGGGATATATATCCAATTTAGTAGTTAGTTAAGGTAGCATCATTGTAGTATCAAGCATGTTTTCGCCCGTTTCAGATACATCTTAATTTGGATATGATGTAGGGATATTTATCCCAATATGTGATGTAGGGATATATATCCAGTACTGATGTAGGGATATATATCCAATTTTGTAGTTAGTTAAGGTAGCATTGTAGTATTAAGCATGCTCTCTGCCGTTTCAGATACATCCTAATTTGGATATGATGTAGGGATATTTATCCCAATATGTGATGTAGGGATATATATCCAATGATCTAGGGATATATATCCAATACTGATGTAGGGATATATATCCAATACTGATATAGGGATATATATCCAATTTAGTAGTTAGTTAAGGTAGCATCATTGAAGTATTAAGCATGTTTTTGGCCGTTTTAGATACATCTTAATTTGGATACAGAGATATTTATCGAAGAAAATGAATGAGATCGTTTAGGAAAAATTGATTTATTATTTAAATATTAAATAGAATATGGCCACATTCAAAAAATTATAAAAAATAAAGAAAAGTCTGTCAAAGGGATCAGGAAAATTATTCTCTTCATATTAAGAATATACACATTCTATATTCTTTCACAGAGATTTCGATTCTTTTACCATATTATTTCTTACTTAACACAAACACAGGCACGAATCCACGTAGAATATAAACAAAATAATTATGCATCGAAGTTAATAAAGTACTTAAAATAAAAATATATCACGGTTACAATAAAACACATAAACAAATAATAAATCTAAGTTAAGTAAAAGAAGTAGACGAGAAGGAATTATGTTTCAACAAATTCAACGTGCGATACGGCACTGTTTTTAAATAATTTAACGTTAATTAACATTCTAACTTATGTGGAGAAATTTAGCTCAACTTTAACCCGCCATTTCGCTTATAAACGATCAGCTGGAGCTGACGTCATAGATCCACATGTGTGGATATCTGTGATCTTCTTCTTCTTGAAGTACAAGTACCTAATTTAAAGCTTTTCCTAAGCTTTCCGATGACCTCATAAAAGTAATTTTACAAAAAATTGATTTCGTTTCATTGTTCAAGATATCGTCCAATTCTTCTTGCTTTCAAAACTGTTTTGTTTTTAAATGTTCCTCAAATTGAACTTCAGTTATAAAATTTTTAGTAATGGACAGTGATTTGTGATTATGCAATAGACCTTCTTAATATTTAGTAAAGAGAAATTTTGAGAATAGTTGAGAGAGTTTAAGAAAAAATTTTATTCCGAAAGGAAATCAGATAACTTTCGATTTCACATTCTGTTTATCATCTTAACAACTTTAATAAAAACTGATTTTCCTGAATATAATTTTTAAAAAAATCAGCATTTCAAAACTCATGGTTCAGTACAAGGTAATCTAGTTTCAATTGTTCAAATTCCCTTTTCCAAGTGGCTTTCAAAACATAAATTAATAAGTTTGTAGAGCTTAACAAACACGTGTAAAAACAATTTGTAATAATGTATAGTAAAAATGCGATTTTAAATTATTAAATATATTCAAATTTTCAACAAAAAAAAATTCTTTGTCGAAAAAAAACTTTTCCAAATAATACTTTAACGAATATTAAGCCGAACGTTTTGTGGAATATTTGTCCAAAATGTGTTAAAAATAATTGTATTTCAAAAACGTTTGTTCCGCAAGGTAGTCGGACCTTTCGATTTAACAATCTGTTCTTCTTCTTAAAAACTTTAATAAAAACTGATTTGCCTGAATATAATTAAAAAATTTCAGCAATACAAGACTATAGTTCAGTATAAAGTAATCTAGTTTCAATTCTTCAAATTTCTCTTTTCAATTTGTCTCCCAGAACACAAATTAACGAGTTTTAGAACTTAACAAACGTGTGTAAGAACAATTACTATTAATGTATAGTAAAAAAATACGATTTTAGATTATTCTCTGTTAAATATATTCAAATTTCCCAAAAAAACTTTTCCAAATATTACTTTGACGAGTATTCGGCCGATAGTTCTGTCGAATATTTGTCCAAATGTGTTAAAAATAATTGTTTTTCACAAATTTCTCTTTTCAATTTGTCTTCCAGAACATAAATTAACGAATTTTAGAACTTAACAAACATGTGTCAAAACAATTTCTAATAATGCATAGCAAAAAATATGATTTAAGATTATTGTTTATTAAATATATTTAAATTTATAAAAAACAAAAACTTTGACGAAAGGAATTTTTCCAAATATTACTTTAACGAATATTCGGCCGAACATTTTGTCGAACATTTGTCCAAATGTGTTAAAAAATAGTTGTTTTTCGAACAATTTTGTTCAGAAAGGTAGTCGGATATCATTCGATTTAACAATCTGCTTATTGTCTTAACTTAAATAAAAACTGATTTTCCTGAATCTCGTTTAAAAAAAAAACAGCATTGCAAAACTCACGGTTCAGTAATCTAGTTTCGATTCTTTAAATTCGCTTTTCCATGCGGCTTTCAGAACATAAATTAGCAAGTTTGTTGAACTTAACAAACATGCGTAAAAATAATTTCTAATAATAATGTATAGTAAAAAATACGATTTTAGATTATTCTATATTGAATATATTCATATTTTCCAAAAACAAACTTTGTATAAAAAACACTTTTCCAAATAATACTTAGACGAATATTCTATTTGTCCAAATCTGTTGAAAATAATTATCTTTCAAAAAATTTTGTTCCAAAAGGTAGTCGGATACCTTTCGATTTAACAACCTGCTTATCGTCAATAAACAAAAAAATAAAAACGAAAAAAAGAAAACATTATTTCCATATAAAAAAATAGAACAAAAAGTAAAAGACATCTTAACTGAACGTTTTTTCAATTATTGACATAAGGCTAAGTATTTAACAGTTCGAACCTCTCTCCGCCTACTCCGTGTTCCAGAACTCGCCCATTACTTTGGTAACTTATTTGCTTTAATTCCACATTTCCATTTCCTCCAATCTAACGATGATAAAGTGTAATAAATAGCCCAAACCTCAAAATGAGACGCTTAACACCACTTATCGGTCGATTATCAAATATCCCAAACGATCCATAATAGATAGCGCAGAAAGAAACACAACCCCGCTCACATATATAAAAAAAGTTGAAGTTAATTTTTTTTCTGTTTTCATTCGATTACCGAAAACGATAATATTGCGGAGAGGATATATTTTTGTAGAATTCCAAATCGTTTTCACATTTTCTCTCATTCCACCCCTCATTGCTTCTGAGCACCGAGAACATTATAGAAGGAGAGAGATTTGAGATTCGATAGAACGTTTTTAACTCTTGAAATGATTTCGAGTGACATGGAGTGCCTCTTTACTGTGAGGATTCTCAACTGAGATGAAAAATACCCCCTTCCCTTCCATCTACACTCATAATATGGATTAAAATGGTAAATGACTTGTATAGAAAGAGCACAGTTAGCATAGAGTGTCACAGTGACGTCACACAATAAAGTAAAAATAAAAACAGTCACAGTCGCAGGTGTGACCTTTTTAAATTGTCTCAATGAGGTCATAAATGTGATTTTGTAGTTACTTTATCTTTTGACATCACATGAAAGTTTCAATGACTATTTATTGTGACTTTTGTCAGTTGGTACCTGTACTTTACTGGGACTAAAGTCACTGAGAAACTTTGTTGTCACTTAGTTACAACTTCGATCCCTTAAAAGTCATATGAGTATCATTTCACGATTTGTTTTTCTAAATTCACAGGGGTATATTTGCAAATTGCCTCACTTAAGTTAGATTAGTTCCCTGAAAGTCTTGTAAGCAGTGTTTTGCGACAAATCCCTTAAAATTTACTATGTGAATTACAATAGAGTCATTATTTATTTTGACTTTTCTCAGTTGGAAGTCACACTTATACTTTACTGGGACTAAAGTTACTGAGAAACTTTGTTGTCACTTAGATATAACTTTGATTCTTTAAAAGTTATATAAGTATTGTATTTAAAAATCATAACGAGAGGCCTTTGCAGCCCTTTAAAAAGATCACGCATTTGTGACTCTATTGTGAATCACATATTTAATTAATAGCAATTTGCAAATATACCCCTGTGAATTTAGAAAGACAAATCGAGAAATGGTACTCATAAATAAATATATTTTAGTATTTTATATTTAAATTAAAAATTTGAATGTCTTTTCCTTTTGTTTTCAAAATAGATGTATATGATTGCATTTTCAAGTTAAAAATTTCAAATTTTATACAAGTTTCAGAGCCACAAATACTTTTGATAAGATTTAGGATTTATTTCACTCAAAAATATTATTGCAGAGATAGGGGAAAAAAATTTTGAGCGAACAATTTCATTAGC